AGAAAGTGGGAGGGAGTTAGCCTAGGAAAAAGAGATAGTGAATTCGTTACCCGATTTCAACTTAGGCCCTGTTGAGATCTCAGCCACTTTAGCAGTTTATCAACGAAGTACTGGTTCTGCTCAACCACACAGTCGATTGCTCTATGGGATTGTAGCAGCCGATTTTTCCAATATTTGATTACCTGGAATTCTGTCATACTTGGGAAAATCCATCTGAGTAAGTTTCCATTCTTCTCTTTTCCCCATTCCTTAAATTCCATTCTTATTCGTTGAAGAAAAATGCGCGGTTTCGGTGGACAGATATGTCTTCAAAACATGCTAAAATTTGAACGAATTCGAAATGGTAGAAAAAAGGTACGGGCGAAAAAGCACTCGGCCGAAAACTTTTGAGCACTACTGTGCCTACTGCTTAAAATAAGTTTGTTTGACCGAGAAAGGTTATTTGTCAGTTCTTCATCAAACTAGCTAGTTACTGTAATGACTTGGCATATGCTCTTTCCCATGTTTTCAAAAGACACTAGGGCGCAGAGCAGAGAGCTTTTACGATCACTGGCATGAAAAATGAAATGTTTCTACTACAAGCTCGTGCTTGGGCTGAAGGCTCGGGCCAGTCCAATATTGCAAAAACCCAGAACAATCGCCTAGCCTCATTAAAGGACGAATTCACGATGAAAAAGCAACCCATTTCAAATTAACCTAGGGATGGTGAGTGGTACACGAAAGAAGGAAGAACCATGAGAAACGGCCCAGAACCCGAGAAATGGGACCCCTTCCTTGCCCGTTGATTCGAGCATTGATGCGACTCTCATCGCTGTGCCCTCTTCAACACTACGCTCTCTCAGCTATCTAATCACTCGCCACGTATTGAACTACGGCGAGTGATCAGATGATCGGTGGGCGGAGATCGCCGGACCCGCCAGCTTTGAGGCATGATAATTTGAGAATTTGACCCCCGGAGACCATGATAGGTCGCCGAGGTCAAATTTTTCCATGCGAATTGCGCGTCAGTTCGCACCCTCAGGAGGTCCGTGGGTCCCTCAACTAGGTCAGTTTCCCTTTCTTCGACCTTTCATTCTAATCGTGAATTCCTCCTTTAAGGCCTTCCTCAGCCTTGTTCACTGCATCATTTCATAAATACCTGCTGCTATCAAAAATCCCTATGCAACAAATCAGGTGGAGAAGCCTTCCCTGACCTGGGCAGATCTCCCCGAACGAAATAAGATAGACGGGGAAGAGAAGCACCGAATACTTTCGTTTTCTTCACCAATCGCTGCGAGCTTTTTCAAAAGAAACATCCCTTTGTTCGCGATGTTTCAAGACCGCCTTCTTTGGGCATGATCTCGTTTGAAATCGCTTTTGAGTGATTGTTTCAGACAAGCGGGCGTTTGAGATAGATTGTTCATTTTTTGAATCTTCGTGCAAGCCGCAATTCATTCATATCCACGTTAATCGTTTCTGTGATGTTGGTGTTCTGTATGAGGCAAATGCCCTGAAGCAAACCCTTTAGCGTGAATGCTAGTAACTGGTTTGCTATTTACCATAGCTTGTTTGAGTCTTCCATTCGGCAGCATGAATCTCTCATTCTGTGCCCGGCGAAGCCTCTTCAGCTAAGCTAACCAACTACTTATCCTCGCTGCTTACCAGTGGAGACCAGCAGTTAACATTCAGACCATGTTGATATCTAAGTTGAGTAAAAAGCCCAATTGAGAGGTTGGTCGTAACTGCCGATTCGGTAAGTTCCTTAATAAGCTTCGTTTCGATCACTAACTGATTGCGCTTAAGCATAAGGGAAAACTTTGCAGTGGTAGGAGATTCCACCCAGTCCTCAATCTAAGCTTCTCTCACTGCTTTCTCACCGAGCCCTTCACGTACATATTCGTTCGGCGCCTATTGGGCTTCTTTGGAGACCTCAAAGAGATGCTATTCGAAATTTATCTCCCCTCTCACTTCAACCCCATCCCTTGTTGAGAACTTTTACTTATCACAAAGGTTACCAAGGTGTTAGTCTGTTCTGCTGGTGAGCTCTGCACATCTCTTACAACCTTCTCATCTCAATCTACACCTTTTCACCTGTCGAAGCCTTTTCAACCAGTATTTACCACCGCACACCATTACCTCTTCGCCATGGATCAAATGCCTTTATTCTGTGACCGAAGTATTCCGTTGCGCTGCGTACCGGCTATGAGTACCGTAAAAATAGCATTTTCCTCACCAATTAGTCGAGCTTGCACAACCCCCTCCATCGTTTTGTACAAAAGAATACACTTTATGAGCTACGTATACGTACGTTTTTGCTTATGGGAGCAGGATTCATGCATCGCCATTGAGTATTGTGATGTTGAACGCGCCCCAATGCAATCATCCTCAGTAATGTGCATGCTTGACTTCCCATTGATCTCCTATTGCTTTGCACTTTTGGTGTTGTTTGATGAGCTTTAACCAGAACGGATAATGATGTTTATTTAATTTTC